TTGTAGAGGCCAAGGACAAGACCCACGGTGATCACTGGCAGCGGAAGCTGGTGGTTGTCCTCACAGGATAGGCCACCTTCCCTAGATACAGCAATAATGACCATACGTCGGTGCTGTAAACCCAGTACGACCTGGGGGCCCTCTCCCAAATGGAACCGGACCGATCCTACCGGCTGGTCCACCGGGCCGGTTCCCCCCCGGTTGACCAGGGTGTTGTAGAGGCCAACGACAAGACCCACGGTGATCGCTGGCAGCAGCAGCCGGTGGTTGTCCTCACAGGATAGGCCACCTTCCCTAGATACAGCAATAATGACCATACGCCAGTGCTGTAAACCCGGTACGACCGGGGGGCCCTCTCCCAACAGGAACCGGGCCGGTTCCCCCCCGGTTGACCAGGGTGTTGTAGAGGCCAAGGACAAGACCCACGGTGATCGCTGGCATCAGCAGCCGGTGGTTGTCCTGACAGGACAGGCCACCTTCCCTACCCTTCCCCACGTTAATGCTCCCAGCGCACCCCCTATCCCTACTATCCTACCTCAGTGTGATCAGCACTCAGGACCATCACCCTACCAGTATCGAGGGCAACTTGGACCAGACAGCAGTGACAAGCACCCCCTAACACTACCACCCCCACTCCCTTTTTCAAAGTTTTTGGGTGGGAAGTACCGTCCCTGCCCTGCCACTAACACCCCCAGCCCCCTTTTCAAAGTTTTTGGCCGGAAGGTTAACGTTTGCAGAAAGCCAGGTACGTTGTTGTCAATTTCTGCTGAAGCCCCTGCTTGCTGAAACCCCACCACTAACACCCTCACCATAACCCCCCCAACCCCGGACCCCCAACCCCGGACCCCCAACCCCTGAACAGGGCGCTGCACGTCCCTGGCACGAACACCATGCAGGCCTGGACCGGGCACTAGCGCAAATTAGCAGCATTCTGTTATTCCACCCACAGAGGACACAAGCACTCCCTCAAAATTTTGAGGGGCGGGGGGGGGGGGTTGGGGTTGGGGGTTGGCAATCTCTCTATTCTATGTCAAACCAGAAACTGGGGCAAGGAATCTGAAGATACCCTGGGGCAAGGTCCCACTGTCCCACTGACCCAGATTCTCCGTTGCCAGCCATCGACCTTAATCATAAACAGTCGGAAACAAAGAATCTGGGTACAAACTACTAAAAAGGGCCTACGCCAGGTTCTCCCTCTATTCTTGAAGAGTAGTCAGTAACTAGTCACATTCTCCTTTCTCTGTACATCTTTTTGGCGCTTTTTCTCGTTTTCTTTTTCACGGTTTAAACCGCCAGTTTGTGAGCATGCAGCAGCTAACAGGCCAACCATTTTTTCGATGTACCGGCCTGCCTGGAGCGAGTTAAATTCCTTCATGTCAGTCATGATGAAAAACTGTCAGAGGCTCACAGAAGGGTCTCACAAACTGGTGGTTTAAACTTTAAAGGAAGAAGAAAGAAAGTCAAGTCGCCCCTGTCACAAAGATTGGAAGGCAGGCGGATGGCAGGAAGCAACGATGACAACAACATCAGAGATGGGAGAAAGTGACTGCGATAGTACGTGCATGTGATTACAGGCCCTTCGCTTGCCTCCCACTCATCTGTAATAAAGGCATGCACAGTGCTTACACACCACTACAAATCAGATTGTATTTCGACAACCGTGCCTAGGGCTGGATTACGAATACTATGAATGCAGCTGGACTGTCATGAACGCATCTGTCTGCAGTTACAGTCACATCCGGTGCCTTTACACTCGTGTCTGTGTATATGGTGTTGTTCATCATTTGCCTGCCTCTTCTGCTAAATGACATCATGCATCTGGAGGATTTCTATCCCTATGTACAACGGATTCCACTCATGATAGTCAATCATCGTTCTATAGAACCAAGTTCATCCACCCAACTGCGCTCCCCCAGGAGGGTTTCCCTTACTTGGTCTTTGTTTGACACCGGTCACTCTGAAGATCACCGGCAATATTCAAATAGTCCAGGCAAATGGGACCTTCTGTGGGCCCACTGCAAAAGGACAAGAAAAAAGTCCCATGGTAAGTTCCGCAGTAGGTCTAGGTTTTCCAAGAGGCAAAAAGTGTTGACGGAAATTGACGGATGATGTCTGGGGCCTAGGTCAGTTGCTACGCCCACGAACTGTTGACATACAGACCCATGTTCGAATCCAGAATACAGATACCATCAGAACACCAGAATAAACTTCAATAAAGTCATTCCGAATTACCAGGGGCAAATCAGCTCAATGGTCATATCCCAAGGCCTTCTCCATTAAGAAAGGAAATGAAAAGGGGAGTAAATTTTAAAAATGAGGGATGATGTCTGATTGTGTTTTGGAAGGAAACAAAAAAAGAAAGGATGATGTCTGATAAAGCCTCATAAAGGGCAACTTAAAAAGAAAAAAGAAAAGAAAAAAAAAGGGCAACTTGTCAACTTGAAGGCATTTGTCAGCCGACAGATGAAAGCGTCTGTTGAGGACACGGACTTTTTTTTTTTTTTTTTTTTTTTTTTTTT